GGAGGTCACTGCCAGTGACGCGTCGACCAGTGGCGGTGGTTTGTGCGTAAATAAGGAGCTGTATACGGAATGGCTGCAGCCCGAGCTCAGACTAGGGGAGATATACTCTCCCAAGATGAGGTTGGTAGTCTCCCTCTTTGATGGCGTTGGAGCTCTACGGGTAGCGGTTGATGCGCTTCGCGTTCCAGTCGCAGGGTACGTCTCGGCAGAGATCTCGGAGGATGCTCGAAGGGCCGAAGGGTGGTCGAAAGCTGGTTCCCAGATGTGCGGCGCATCGCGGACGTCAAAGACATCGACGAAAACGAGGTCAGCAGTTGGAGCCTCGTGTATCCAGGTGTGTGTGCTGTCCTCCTCGGCGCCGGCCCACCGTGTCAAGGTGTCTCAGGTCTGAACTGTGATAGGAAGGGCGCCTTGCGAGACGCCCGGTTGTTTGTTCTCCCACGTTCCTCGAATCGAGCAGTTACTGCGTCGGTTTTTCCGGTGGTGTCCCGTTTTCCGACTAGCTGAGAACGTCGCATCGATGGATGCCAAAGATTGCAAGGTCATGAATGAGGCATATGAAGGCCGCCCTTGGCTTGTCGATTCAGGTGGTGTGAGTTTGGCCCGGAGGCCTAGGCTTTATTGGTTCAATTGGGACGTACAACTCAAGCCGCAGCTCCAGGACAAGGCCTTGTTCGAAAACTGCTGGGACAGGTGTCCGTCAAAGGCGAGGATTTACTACTGCAGATGGTCTGGCGCTGGCGCGAAGTGGCAGGCTGGCGCTGGACTGGAGAAGCTGAACATATTAACGTCCTTGAACTCCGCGCCGTGAAGACTTCCTTAGCCTGGCGAATTCGCGAGCTCAAGGAACAGCGGACGCGATTCCTACACCTTGTTGACTCATTGGTTGTGCTACACGCGTTGTCGCGTGGACGATCCAGCTCAAGAAAACTGCGAAGAAGTCTTGCCAAGATATCCGCAATGCTGTTGGCTAGTGGCCTTCAAGGTACCTGGGGGTACATAGACACACACCAGAACCCGGCGGACAAGCCGTCCCGCCGGCCGTTGCATCGTAAATGGGTAAGAAAGCACCAAAAGTAGTTGAAGGTCATAGCCAGCAGCAAAGAAAAGCGGTAAGACAAAAACTTGGCAAACTAAAGGATCTGACAGTACAACCACGCACACGTCAAAGGTATGAATCTAGCCTACGGCAATTCTTCACTTGGATGGAAGGGGAGGGTCTATCACTCCCAAAGAGAGTTGCGCAGATGGATAGCGTGGTCAGTGACTACCTCGAATACCTCTGGGCAGAAGGACATGGCAAATCCGAGGCAAACAACGCCCTTGCAGCTCTTCAGGATTTTGACCCGAACTTGCGTCGAAAACTTCCGGGAAGTTGGCGCCTGCTGAAGGCACGGTCCACGGCGGAGATCCCAAACCGGGCTCCTCCTATGACGTTAGGTCTGCTTGATGCCCTTTGTGGATGGGCTGTTATGCAAGGCCTTCCTGACTTTGCACTGTCGCTGAGAGTGGCGTTTTTCGGACTCCTGCGTACTGGCGAACTTTTAAGTTTGACCTCCAAGGATGTGTACATCACGGGGCCCAAGGGTCCAGCAGTCATATCCTTAGGACTGACCAAGTCAGGAGCCCGTCAAGGGGCTAGATGAGAGCGTCACGATCGTAGATACATCGGTTCTGCCCTCTTTGTACAGTTGGAAGCGTCGCAGTTCAGCCAATTCATTCTTGACCACAAAACCCCATGTTTGGCGCAAGACTTTTAATCAAGCCATTGCCGGTCTGCAACTCACCGAGCTTGGGCTGCGCCCGTATTCGTTACGGCGCGGGGGCGCCACCTTTTTCTTCCAGCACCACGGGAGTTTCGATAAATTGCTGCTCCAAGGGAGGTGGGCAGCAGCAAAAACCGCCCGTATATACCACAACGAGGGATTAGCACAGTTGTCGGAAATGCAGGTTCCTAATTCGCGATTGCGGACCTATACGACTTTTTACCTTCAGAACCTGATCCTTGAGCCTGGGCCCCGGAAGGCGCCCAGGTCAGGGGGATGTGGAAGAGCCGGTAAACGCAACTTTTTTCTGCATGAAAGGGTTGCGGGTGAAAACCCCAAAAAGAAACTTCCTGAGTGAAAGAGTTAACAGGGAGTTCTTTCCTCTAAGGTGTTCGGGCCCAGGGGGCTCTGGTATGGCGGATGCAGCCCTGGGGGGCACTGGGGGGCACTCACCTTTCTCTGGTCTGGCGGGAAAGGTTGAGTGTTGGGGCCCCAAAGAGGAGAATTTTTTTTTCTCGCACCTGTAGGTGCTCTGTTCTTGGACAAACCTGCTGCAACGCGTGAAAAAGGATCGGTGGCTGTGCTTGGATTAATGTCCTCAAAGCTAAGGACAGAACCAATCACTTTTCACCGTAGCATCGGGCTCATAAAGGCCCCCCCACCGCACCCTATGTTGGTGTGTTGGTTGTCCGGTAAAAGCAACTTTTTTCTGCACGAGGGGGTTGCGGGTGAAAACCCCAAAAAGAAACTTCCTGAGTGAAAGAGTTAACAGGGAGTTCTTTCCTCTAAGGTGTTCGGGCCCAGGGGGCTCTGGTATGGCGGATGCAGCCCTGGGGGGCACTGGGGGGGCACTCACCTTTCTCTGGTCTGGCGGGAAAGGTTGAGTGTTGGGGCCCCAAAGAGGAGAATTTTACTTTTCTCGCACCTGTAGGTGCTCTGTTCTTGGACAAACCTGCTGCAACGCGTGAAAAAGGATCGGTGGCTGTGCTTATATATACAGTATATACACAGTAAATATGTATACACGTACATTTACACACACACGTATAGTCTTTTTAATTTTCCTGAATATCGAATGGAACTTATCTCCACACATGTATAAAAACTATAGACAGGTGTGTAATGTATGTTATGATGCGATGTTACTTTATGTTTTGGTCTGGTCTGGTATGGTTTGTACACGTACTACATATTACGAAATATATAAGTATTTTCAGTGGCGATCTATTGTTTATTTCCCATTTGGTCCCACCTTCAACTGACCTTATCTGATGTTCGGATGCTTAGCATCACAGCCTCTTTCACTCACCTGCCTGCATGCAGACGGCCTAGACGGCCTAGACGACGCGAATGGACGGCCAGTTCGCTGCTGGAGGGGTGACACAGAGGCGAACAGAGCCAGGTGAGGTGACATAGGTCAGGTGAGACTTCATCGCCCCATGAATTGAAGTTGACCATCGAGCCAGTCGCCCTTGTGTCAGACATCCTGTGTCAGATGTGGTCTCAGAGTATTGCCCGGCTTGAGATTAGTGGAACGACATGTTGGTTCACATCACCCAGCACCATTGTTCCATCACAGAAACCTCTCCAGTCACGAGATGTCGGACATTTGTTTTGCCATTCTGGAGCTCCAAATCTTTAAAGCGGGGGACCAGCCACGGGCCCCCGAAGCCCCAGGCCAGGCATGTCGCCAAGGGCCCGGTGGCGACGAACAATGAACAAACAGTGTTTGTTGAACGATGACCTGGTTGTTTGAACCAGGTTGTTACATTATATACCTGGTTGTTTTTCACGATTACATTGTTTGTTGAAAGGGCCCGGGGAACGAGTTATTTGCAGATCTTTGTGCTTAACAAATTACCTTATCTTTGCAACTGGACAAAGCATGGGGGTATCTTAAAACGATTTGGTGAACCAGGCGACGTCCATGGTTTCTCCGAAAAAATATTCCCCCCAAAAAAACACGTTCCGTGTGTTCTGTGGAGACTTTTCTTTTCTTCTAAACCAGCGAATAGACCAAACAGTCGTGAAATGACCACTTTGGGGCTTAATCTTCCTGTTGGGGCGACCGGTCACAGGGGTCACTCGACGACCAGTCACAGCTTCGGGTCTCTTAGGTTGGGAAGCTTCCCCCCAAAATTGGAGAAAAAAACCGGAGTTCGTCACTGACCTGAAGAAATTCAGGAAGTTCATCTGAAAGTGTAGGATAGATGCAGGTCGAAAGAGTAGGTTAGAAATGCGTGGTTGACCCGATTCGTCTGTTCCAAGGTCGACCCGATTCCGGTCTCGAACTCGTGACGGACCGTCTATGGGGTCGAGAAGCAAAGTTGTTGTTTGTGTGGTGATGCGGTGTTTGTGTGGTTGTTGTTTCTTGATCTCTGAATCTGTCCTCTCTTCATGGCTGGATGGCGCCGATAGAATCCAGCTTCCGACGAGAGGATTCTGAAGTCCTTCCTCTGGGCCCTGACACGCAGCCTGAGCAAATGGGGACAGCTTTGACAGCTGACTAGTCTAATCACCGTTGGACAAGGGGCGCTCTGGTGGAATCTGTGTGGTTTTTCATTGTGACGAGTTGCGGCGGAACCTGATTGGACACAGCCCCAAAAGCACTCCCCCAAAGCAAGAAACTGCATTTGACATGTGAGGATGTGCTGGTCGGACGCATGAAGACTCAACGAACAAACCCTCCCAACAGCAAGTGGGTGTGATGGATTTGCTTTTTGTTATTTTTGTACAGACATCAGTTTCACCTGTATTTATCACTTCTGGGTTTTGCATCACCCAGCCACCTTTGACCCACACCAAGCGGGTGTCGAACACCAGCCCATCATATGAGCGTCTGCCAAAACGTCCAGTCAATAAGTAGAGGACATGAGTCAGCAAGGTGATCGCTTTAGGGGGTGTATCGCTTTGCAGCTTTGGGCGCCCAATTCCTGAAATTCACGACCAATTCCTTTGCTAAATGAGTCATTGCACCTGCTCCAAACGGTTGTGTGGAAGCGACCAGGGACGGCCTCTGAACCGTAGGTGGGTCGCCCAGCTTCGAACGAGTCCACCTGAGCCACGGATCGGACACTCCCAGCGTAGATCGGGTCTTTTGCCGGGAATAGGGGTGAAGTGACCGCACCAGCCAGACCTGAAGACAGCTTCAATAAAGAGAAAGTGGCCCCAGAAAGGGTTTAGCGAAGGTTCTTGCTAACAAGTCTGGTATCTTCACTTAAATCCATCCACCAGCCAGGCCGGCAGGTGTACCGTGCGTGCGGAAGGGTGGGAAGCTTGCCGAGCACCGTGGAGTTGAGGTGAGCATAGCTGCAGATGGCTTGGGGAGTGGGGAGTGGGGCGAACAGGTTTTTGTTGAGCACCTTTACCCCTGTTGTTCACGTACCATCGTGCAGAACTTCCGGCGAATAGGCGAATAGATGTTTGCACTGCTCTTCTGGCGAGATGGCACACGTCTGGACTGCAGACTATAGCTATATAATTAGGGTTTGTCCTATTGCCTGTAACAGTCAGTAAACAATTATCACAATTTTTGGAGAAGGCCTGCAACTGAACCATCATCCACTGTTACAGCTAATAGGATAGATCCAATTATATATAGAATGCTATAGATATATAGGTGTGTATTTAGAATAGGGAGACCTCTCAGTTCGACCCCTGCAGGTAGGGAAAATACACCAGTCTAGCCATTGGTGGGGGGGAGACCCCATGAAAATTACCCACCCAGATAGCTATAGGCTGTTTGGATATTTTGGTTCCAAGAACTGCTGGGAGAGGATCAATGCTGGGTATACGGTATACTCAAAAAGAGGCTCGAGAACGAAGATTCTGTTGATGTTTTCGGCCGCTTTTTTTGCTTGAAAGACGCCAAGATGTTTGTGCCAAAGTCCAAGATGCCCTGGTTTTTCTTTTCCTTTTATGCAGCTTTCGCTGCATGGAAGCTGACCATGGAGGCTGCAACCTTCCGGATGAGGGAAACAGGCAAACTCGTTTCATCATGCAGAAATCAAGAAACAGGGAGGTTCGTTTCATATGGATCCTTTGATTTTCCTTTTCGAGATTATTGTCTGTCTGAAGTTCCAGTTTCCCCTTTGGTGCACCTAGGCGGAGAGTGAGAGCTGGGTCACCTGGGAAGCCTGGGAGGCTGGCGCGGAAGCGGGGTTGGTCTGGGACCGATCGGCCTCGGTTCGCCAAACGCGTCGCATCCCGACATGACTCTTCCAGTGAAGCACCCAAGAATTCTTGAAAATGGTACTGTGATCCCTGAATCTCCCCCACGTTGCTTGAAGATCTCCAGGTAGTTGAACATGACCTGAGTCGTTTAGAACATTGCCATCAGTCTTAGGCCCTTCACCATTGGTCTTAAGCCCTGAAAGCACAGCGGTCGTTTTGTTGCACATCCGAATCCAACTGCCCAACTGCCCTGTTCTGTGCATGTCTGTGGAATGGTATTTTTGGATTTGATCATTATTGATTTGCGACGCGGCTCTCTAGAGCAATGCATTTGGCATATTCCCTCAACGAGTAGACACTGTGCGGGGTGCCAATGGATTTGCGCCGAGTTACAGTCTCATCAAGCACAAAACATGATAGTACAAATGCCATAGAGCCAGTCTCCCAGTGAATATGTTAGGTTTTTCTGAAGCCAACATTCTTTACACATTTTGCACATTGTTCCTATGTGCATTCTGTGCGGAATGATGTTGTCACTAGGCACAACTCCTTGAGAATTGACACACTCTTAGACACACGACAATCTTATTGCTCATGAAGTTTGGCAAGTCGGTTTGCAAGACCCTCAAACACATCGGATTTTTGAGGGTACAGACCTATGGAGGCTCAGACCATTCTTACGACCTATGTGGACTTCTTGTTCATTGATAGACCTGGTTCATGCCGGGGAGAGAGAGAGAGAGAGCATAACTGGGATTCGAGATACTACGGTGCAACTTGGGTTATTCAACCTGGACATTTTGCTTGAACATTGAAGATGCGTTTTTTGTCGGTGGAATTCCCCGAGGCTTTGGAGAGTGGTCTTCGGACAGAGAAACCAAGGGAAGAGATACACTCTCTTCATAGGGAGACCCTGACCCAAAAATTTGGTTCTCTATTTTGTCTTCTCTGGTTAAGTGGGTGGATCGCAGACGGTCTTCAGCCAATAGTAGTCGTGAACATCATCAAAGACGGTTGGTCAAAGTTTTTGAGAGCCAACACGACATTGATAAGACGGTTGTAGACACGATTGGGCGACCACGGTTGGTACCAATTTCTTCAAAGCTCGTGGAACTGAATGGGACCTGAATGGAACTGAACATGGTCGCCCAATCGTGGTCGCAACTTGGGGATGGAGCTACTGTGATCAGACCTTTGAGCTGTGATCAGACCTTTGAAGTCGCATTCTCATTCACTAGATCACTAGACCATTATATAGCGATTTTCTTTGGCTCTATTCCCCTCAACAATACACAATACACCATGTCAAACGAAACGGTCGGACCTTTGACCATCTTTGAATAGGTTCTTTGGTCGAAATCCAGCGAAACCGTCCGTGCGAAACCGTTCGGGGGTGGTCGGGCCTCTTCCGTTCGGGTTTCTGTTCGCCGGACAAGAGCTTGGCCGTTGACCGCCCCGCCCCAGCTGCCCGGTGGCTCAACGGAGCCATCGGTGTCACATCCAAAAGCAAGACCGACCAACCAAAATTAATGAATCCCAGTGACCCGCCCAAACTGACAAACCGACACTCAACATCCTCATAGGCCTACTTCACCACCTTGTCCGTCGGGATCATGTGCCCCGACAAGTTGTCACACCACGCGCGCGTATCGGATTGGGGTGGATTGCGTGGATTGAATCGGGAGACCTGCAGAAGCAGTTGGATACCCAAACTGGGCATCATGTTGACTAGTTGATGAAATCAAACATAGCACCTCCGCATGGAGATGTTTTCCCAAATTTCTGGGTAGTGACGGGGGGTTATTACAATCACCAGTCGACACCACTTCTTCCGTGTTGTGAACTCCCATGGTTTCGATGGGTCTGAGCTTGTCGAGTTGGATGAAGAGATATCGGCCATGATGACATCGACACGAACCACAGAGACAAATGGGAACGGGGAGGGGTACCCTTTTGGATCCAGGAATGGGGACGGTTGCTGGAAGCAACCAAGCCAGACATTGCAGAGGTTGAACCATTGATCCATGAGAAGCAAAACATGGGCACACCACCTGCGGAGAGCGTCAGGATGTCTCCTGTGTAATTATCGCGGTACCTACTGGCTGTGTTTCTATAGATGAACGCCATGTGACTGTCGGAGCATGAGCTCAAGCATGAACTTCAGTGAATTGGTTTCCTTGGGCCTTGGTTCGACGAAGAGATATTGTCATCCCTTAAGTCCATCTTCCCTCAGAGAGGGGCCACAGAAGGAGTTCCCGTCAGTATTTCCAAACGTTTCTTCATCTTCTGGCAGTCTAGCATGCTTGTATTGATTTTTTGTAGTAGTTCAAAATCACGGAATTGTTCGATCCTGTCGATGTTTCAAAATTGACATCACTCGACGTCACCAGGGATGAGGAAGTCTTTGCGAAGACACTACAAGATCCCTTGCAGACCTACCAGGCGCCGTGGAGATGGAAAGGAGGAACAAGAAGCTACTACTGTAGTTTGTCTTTGAAGCTGCTAGAAACAAGAAACTTTTTAGTATGTCGTTGAAGCTTTCTAGTAACAAGAAGCTACTAGTAGCTAGAAGCTTCCTTGGGAATAGTTTCACTGGGAATCGTTTCATTTGTAGTAACAAGAAGCTACTAGTTACAAAAGCAAGACATGTTTTTGTCGTTAGAGTTTGCTGACACGCACTGGCACTGCACCATCATGAACCACATGATTGGTTTGTTTGAGGCCACAACGTCAGGGATGACAGTACACAACGTCAAGCCCAAAGGCTCTAAGGACATTTATCAAGCATTATAGGTTGATCTTCAATACTCTTGCTGATATCTTTAGGGCTTGAATGAACACTTCCAATGGTTCTTCCCCCCGGCTTTTGACCTGCTCTGGGTTTGTTGTGTCCTCTATCTTGGACCATGTGGGTGTTTTGCTTCGAGAGTAGAGCGAGGCCATGGCATAGCCAAATCACGGCAAAGCCATTCGGAACTTTGCAAAGGCCGCATCCTTTTGAAGAGGGATGGCCCTTTGGACACACAAAGACCACCCCACCCACTATATTACCATATCAGATGATGGAAGGGGCGACCGGCAGCACCGCTAGTCCGAGTGGGCCGTGGTGGGTGGACTCACACCTCCACACTATTTGTGGATCCCCTAACAAGTCTCCATCCACTGCTTTCAATCCGACTTGATGGGGTGAGACCGTGCTGTGAAGAATTCAGTTGGCAGGCAAGTCTTAAGTCACTAGCCAGTGATCTATGCCGACAAAGAACGGGCTTGATGCTACATGCCGAGTCTGTCGGTTGGTCCTTGGCCAGATGTATGGCAAGATGCAAGCGCAACGCTTGATCACGCAGCCCGTCGAACGGTCCAACCACTGCAACCTCAGAGTGTGACCTGGTGACCCAAACGATGTTGGCGGAAGCGGACGACGGGCGCGTGTTGGCGAAGTGGGGGGGGGGACCTATCAGCTGCAGACCACTCAGACCACAAGCTGAAGGAGGAAAGGTCATGTTTGTAGCGACAAGCTGTTTATTACATGGATCACATGGACCAGTAATTACTGAACACATCACAGCAAAAGGTTTTCCACACCACCAGATAGTTGGCATTTTTGTCCACTTTGCTTTTTGTGTTCATTTCTTCCAATTTCATTGTAGGCTTCCAATCTTTTCCCTTTGTTGGCTTATGCCAGAGAAAGACACACATGGAAAACATCACAAACAGTGAGACCCAAATCTTAGCCAAGCATCTGAATGAAGGAGGATTTAAGCATGACAACAACCTTTATTAATGTTTCCTGAGTGCATGGTGGGGGCTGACGTTTGCCACTGCTAGGGTGCTGCTCACTTCAAACAAGCCCCAAACTTGAGATGCATGGGCTCCTGCCTTTGGCTTTGTAGCGAGGCGAATCATGCTTGAAACACCTTTTGTTTGAACACCTCCCGGGAGGTTTGGAAGCATTTTCCAAGACCCAATCTACTGGACGCCAGGTTCTAAGATCACAATTCAGACCTTTTTGGTGTCCATAGGGTTGGTTCCGTCGTTGTAAGATTGTGATCTATGTTTTTGATGATGGTTTTGCGCTTCACTGTTCGTCCACATGGTTCATAGGCCGAAACGGATGTCAATGGGTCGAAACAGGTTTTTTTTGTACCCATACCCTTCGGCGACCAATGGGTTTGCATTGACCTCTAGAGGGGGAAGCGTATTTTCCCCCCTGTCCCGGGGTTGTTTGGCTCTCTTGGGCCATCTTTGCTCTCTTTTTTGGATGGTCGACCGGATGGTCTATGAATGTTTGTTCTCTTTTTGTATCCCTATCAAATCTATCAATCCAACACACGCCCCAGAGGCTACCGCCTGCCCAGCTCTCGCCCAGTCTAGGCTGGGCCTCTTCGCCGATGGCTCCCGCAAGCTGCTCACGCTGCGCGATGTCAGCTCAGCAGATGCGCGCGAAAAGCGCAACGACGCGACCAGGGAGGGAGGGAGGGAGGGAGGGAGGTGGTGGTGGCAGTATCAGTAGCAGGCGCAGCCGCAGTCGCAGCAGCAGTCGCAGTAGTAGTAGTCGTAGTAGTAGTAGTAGTAGTTGTTGTTGTTGTTGTTGTTATTGTGGTGGACTCAGGAGGTCAGTTTGGTCTCGTGAAAAATTGGACAGATGAAAAGGGTGCCATTCGGTTTGCAAGGAGACGAGCGCCATGGATTTTCGGGGGTGCGGTCAGCTTCGGTGTTCGCTTTGGTGTCATGTGTTGTTTCACCTCTCGCTGCGGGTCGGTGCACTGGACCGCCCAGCCGAGGACCAGGGCCTCGAAGCCCTGGCCGGGCGCGCTGGGTGTGGGGACGGGCAATTCTGGACGTGGGGTGGGGGCTCCCAGTCTGATCCGAGCCAATCGTCCGCGGTTGGTTTCTTCTCCGCCGAAGAGCCGAGGGTGGCGGTGAAAATGATGGCACCCCCGACACCCTGGACCGGTGAAAATGAACAGATTCCTGCCTCTGTAAGGGATGTCAACCCACGGCTCCAGGTTTTGACCCACAGCCCATGGGCCATATTTCATGGTGTGAAACGCACGCTGTGCATTTGTTAGGAACACGTTCCGACCTCAGATCGCACCTCTCCGAGAAGGGAGGGCTCAAGCAGCCAAAAGGCTATGCGGCCGCGGCACATCCCCGTGCCTTCAATTCGCTTGTGGTGTTTGTTCACCCTGAACCTGTGGGCTTCGACTACCACCGGTTTCTTCGCATTGGTAGCGGAGCCCGATCCCATCCAGGGGGAGGGCTCCGTCTGCGCGCTTCGCTTTCTCGAGCAGCACGCTGGGGACAAGGTCTTTGGTGGCCACTCACTGCCGTCATCTTCTGGGTCCTGTTGGCTGAGAACCTGGTGGAAAACCCTACGGGGAGGATCCTTGTGGCATTCACCACCCTGGTGGATGTCGCATCAAAGAAGACAGCAGCAGAAGAAGCCTCAGACCGCACAACCCGGCTCTAGCTCGATGGCTACACCCAAAGAGGACTCCGGCTTCATGGACCTCAGGGATTCCTACGTCCCTGTCTTCTCAGGCCAACCTGCCGACTACCGTGAATGGCGTCAACGAATTCAGATCTACCACCGCAAGATGGCTCTCTCCAAGCGTGCAGGAGAGAGCGTGTTGAACATCGTTGGCTCCTTCCGTGGAGTGGTTTGGCGGCTCTTCGAAGATTGGAGCCTTGAGAAGCTCGAGCGAGACGACTCGTTCGAGAAGGTTCTGGAGATCCTGGACGGCAACTTCGCCTATGACCAGAGAGTTCAACTGCCCAATGACTTCGAGAACTACTTCAATTTGCTACAGAGAGCTCCTGGGCAGACTCTCCTGACCTTCGTCAACGACCATGAGGAAGCATATCGACGGTTGCTTCAACATAAGGTCGCACTTCCTGACAGTGTCCAAGGATGGCATTTGCTTCGCCGCAGTGCCCTGACGAAGGAGCAGCCACAGCTCATCATGCTGAAGGCCCCGACCTTGGACAAGCAGCAGGTGATCGAGGCTCTCTATTTGATCCTCGGCCAGGACTATAAGTCTGGTGGTTGGAACCATGAAAGAAACAAGCGCTTCCAACGTTGGTCCAATCGCGCCTATGCTGCACAGGACGACTGGGATGAAGGTCATGATGATGGTTGGGGCGAAGAAGAGACAGGCTACTATGAAGATGATGATTGGGGGCAAGATGAGTACTATGAGGACGACCTCGCCTTTGACGACGAGGCTGGCTACTTTGGTGATGAACCCTGGCCTGAGAGCTCCAACGAGACCAACAGCCCCGAACAGCTTGCCGAAGAGTTTGACTCGGCCTATGCAAGCTACACTACACGGATGCTCGCAAGCGCTTCAACGACCTCAAGATGTCTCTCGGCTTCCTTCCAGTTGTCGCCCTTGCTGACCAACAAGCCCCTCTGGCTACAGGAGCAGCATCTTCTTCGGTGACACCAAGCTCCTCTACCTGGCCGCGAAAAGGAAAAGGAAAGGGGAAGGGAGGCAAGTCAAAGGGCAAGAACAAGAGCAACACCATCCGCTACCCACCATCCACTGGAGGCAAAAGTGACCCTAAAGGTCGTGCTCGTGCAAACATGACTTGTCTTCGTTGCGGCCAACAAGGACATTGGGCGGCAAACTGTCCTCAGAGCTCATCGCCGAAGTCCAGCGGCACCAAGAGACCGGCACCTACGGAGAGTATGGCACAAGTGATGACCTCCGAGGATGCCATGATCATCTTCCAGGACCACACTGGTGCTGAACGTCCTGAGTGCGTGATGTTGGATCCTGGTGCATCTGCCTTCCTGGCAGGCTATGGACCTTTCCGGCGGTATCTACAGCACCTCCGGCAAGACTGTGGCTTTCCCATCGAGAACATCGAGCTGACGAAGGGGAAACGCCGCTTCCAGTTTGGAGGCGATGCTGCATCTTGGTCAACATGGTCTGTTCACCTTCCGGTATTTCTTGATGGCCGCTACGGCACCATCCAGATGTTCCTGCTGCCTGGCAATACTCCGATGCTTTGTGGCCGACCCATCATCGAGGCCCTCGGCATGACCATGGACTTCGCCATGCGCCGCATCTGCATCGGCTCCTCCGGATGGCAAGAAGCCACACTCGGTCGACAAGGCGAATATCTCCTCTCCCTGACGGCCGACCATGACTTCATCCAGTACGACCCTGGACAGCCGGACTTCTGTCTGAAGACCGCTGAGGCCGACATGGAGCAATGTGATGGCTACAAGCTGGAAGACTTCGAACGGTCTGAACAGGGCTTCGCTGCTCTGTCAACTATGAAGGAGGAGGAGATCAAGGATGAACAGCTGTCAAACACTCTGAGGCAGCATTCCTTGCAGACCATGGACATCCAACTCCGAACCCACCTGAACGATATGTCCGCGTACTTGACCAGCCAACTTCATGGTCGAGACACCGACCAAAAGCGAGTTCTATGGGAAGTCTACTGCGGCTCTGCACGGACCTCACAGGTGGCAGAATCCCTGGGAATGACTGTGCGTCGCTTTGGGCTGGATACCGGCTGGAACTTCGACCTACTTGCCCATCAAGAAGAGTTTCTTCGTCTTCAAGAAGAGGAACTACCTGATGAAGTTCTCCTGGCGCCCGAGTGTAAACTCTGGAGTCGGATGCAGACCCTTGCTCGCCGCACTGTACATCAGCAAGAGGCTCTGGTTGCGACAACATCATCATGATCGGCACTTGGTCTTCGTCCGCAAGGTATACATGAACCAGATCTCAGGAGGCCGCCATGGACACATCGAACAACCCAAACATGCCTTGTCATGGCGCACCCGTGCCCTTCGTGACCTACCAGGACATCGGGCCGACTTCGACCAATGCCGCTATGGGGCAACCTGCCTCGATGAGGACCAACAATGGCGACCCGTGAAGAAGAGCACTACACTTCTCACCTCCAAGAAGGCGCTTCAGAATGCCATGACCCTCACTTGTCAAGGAGATCACGATCATTGTGCCTTGGAAGGCAGTGCTCGTGGCTATGGGTCCCGGACCCGCTACATGGAGGACTACCAGCCGGCTTTGGCTTCCACACTTGCTGCAGCCATCTCACTCGATGAACCACCACAGCTTTGGGAGGCCAGCTATGCTTCCACAGAGCAACGTGAAGTTGCATCAACCCTGGTTCAACTTCGAGCTGACACTCGGCAGCAAGCCATTCGCATCGTGCAGCGACTTCACAGGAATCTTGGCCATCCTTCTCCAAAGGAGCTCACCGAACTGCTGCAGACGCGAGGAGCGTCTACTGAGATCCTGAAGGCAGCACAATCTTATGTGTGCACTGCTTGTGCCAAGTACAAGAAACCTGCCGATGCCGCTCCATCCTCATTGCCACAGTCGACGACCTTCAACCAACAGCTGCAAGCTGATGTCTTCTGGGTGCGCCGGGGTTCGGTCAAGTACCCCATCTTGAGCATTGTGGCCGTGGCCACTCGCTACACGGCGGCTCGGCTGGTGAATTCAGAACAGTCCGAGGAGTTGATCAAAGCTCTGGAGCGTGGGTGAATTGCCTTGTTTGGACCTCCTCAACAGCTCGTCACTGATGAAGGGCGGGCTTGGCTTGGACATGACTTCGAAAACTGGACCAGCGTCCACGGAGTGGATCACATCGTAGCACCTGGAGAGGCCCACGAACGACTGGCCCTTGTTGAGAGGCGACACGCCGTACTTCGGAAGGCCATTGAAGTCTACCTCGACGACCTCAAGCTGGACCATGCTGATGGCATTCGAGAGGCCTTGACGTACTGTGTCCCACAGTTGAACGGCTCCCCAAGTGTTGCTGGCTTCTCGCCCACTCAGTGGGTCTTGGGCTATCAGCCTGAACTGGCAGGCAGTCTGCTCTCAACCACCAACTTCCGGGCCTCGCATGTCGGAGGACACTCCAACTTCGAAGCAATGCTCACCAAGCGGGCTGCAGCTCAAAAGGCTTTGGTCGATGCTGATGCCGACCGTCGACTCCGACGCGCATTGGGCGCGAAGTACAAGGGCATGAACTCTGAGTACCAAATGGGTCAGCAGGTATGGTTCTGGCGCGATGCCAAACAGCCCGACTTGGTGAAGATTCGCTGGCTCGGACCGGCCCATGTGGTGATGAAGGAGTACAAGAATGAGGGTGATGAGAAGAAGGTCAATGTCTATTGGTTAGCCTACAAGTCCCAGCTGATCAGGTGTGCACCTCATCACATCCGGGCTGATGTCAAGAATACCGGCCACATCCTTGCCGATGTCCAGAAAGCGCTCAACACCGTGCGCTCGCTCAAGTCCAGAGGAGTCACTCGCTTCTATGACCTTCACCGCCTCAACCGGCAAGAACTTCTGGACGTTGAAGCTGATGAGCATGCCCACCTAGAGAATCCAAAGCTTTGCGGTGGACAGCTTTTCTACAAACGGCGAGACCAAGTGCGGTTTGTACAAATGATGCCGTTTGTTTCACCATAGCTGGTGAACTATAATGCACAGAGCTGGTGACTTATAGCTATGGTTATCGTGCGCGCTTGGTGCTTGAGCCATGTGCTTTGCAGGTGGATTATGAAAAAATGCATACAAAATCATACAAACATTGGTCTAGAAGGGAGCTGAACATAGGTGCCCAAAAAAAATACCCAACAAAAAACATGTTACATGTTCACACACCCACACACGTACATATAAATATATATAAAATACCGATAGATCGATCGATCGTCTTCGCCTTGACGCGTTTTCGTGTTGTTTCGAGGAGTGCTTGTCGTTTCAAAAGCCTTCGCAACTCAGATTTTTTCAACCAATCTCTGAAGATTGTCGATCTCTTTCTTTGAGAGATGGCGCCTAGTCTTGCAA